CTGCAGGAGCAGCTTCTTGGTGGATCGCTTCTGAAAGCTCGCTATAACCTGCTGGTCCGTAGGCTGCAGTGGAGGAGTTGTATTAGGTGGGAGGAACTTGACTGAGAGCCATGGGAATTCTTCAGCCAGTTCCTCTTCCAGATCTCATGGGTGAGCAGGAGCATTGTCATGATAAGGAGAGCCTTGAATGGTAAACCTCTGTCCTCTAGATATTGCTTAGTAGTAGGACAGAAAGCCTCCCTGATCTGCTCAAGAGAATGTGTATTCCTGTTACCCAGGCTTTTGTGTTAGATCTCCACGTGACCCCTAGCCAATTCTTCATGACTTTATGTTTTCTGAACACCCCTGGGGTCTCAGGGTAATCAACCAAGAGAGGCTTTATCCTGAGGCGCTTGCATTGGCATGTAGCAATAAGGCTAGCCTGTCCTTCGTAGGCTTATGGCCTGGCATTTTTCTTCTCTTCCTGAATAATTTACTGTATGTTCGCCTGGGCATTCACTTCCAGAAGAGGCCAGTTTCATCACAGTTGAAAACTTGATGAGTCAAGCAAAAGTCATTTTTCTGTGTTGTTGTTTTGAAGTGGTGTGTGTAGTTTTCAGCCGCCCTTTTATCAGCACTGGCTGCACAACGATGCCTACTTATGCTGTAGACCCCAGTTCTCGTTTTAAAATTGTGAAACCATCCCTTACTGACACCAAATGTTTCACCATTATCACTCATGAATGGATTATCCTTTGTGAAATCTGCATTTATAGCTAGCCCCAGCTTTTTCACCAATTATAGGCTCAGACTATATAACTGGCCATCTGCCTTTCATTTATGCACACTGATAGCCTTCTGCCTTGTCTAAAACTCTTGATTGTGACTTAACTAATTTGAGTAACATCTTTAGAAACACTGGCTTCTTTATACAATCTTTTCTCTGTAAGATTGTCATGATGATAGATTTCAACAATGCTATATATATAAGCACGATGGATCACACAAATGCCACTCATATTTCTCCACATTTTCCTTCTTTTCAGTTGTGATTTCGTTACCTTTCCTTCCTTCTTTAGCTTCTTTTCTAGCTTTTTGGGGGCCATTTTGATAGCAGTAATTGCAGCGATTATATAAAATTCTGACCAAAATCACATCCATAAACAAGCGGATGGGGCTTACTGAGGCTTACATAGGCTTTCTGGCATTGTGAGTCTTTGTTTTTGTTTACAACCTCACAGGCAGCCAGCATTTGGGTGGTAACTGAAGACTTTGGTCATAAATTAAACATAAATTTCTGGTTGTAACTCAGGTTGTTCATATGTGAGGCTGATTATGATTGGAAGTTCCACTGTAAAAGAAACACTGCTGGACTACAGTTTGAGTTAGGATACTTTCAGTTGCAAAATAATAAATTCTAGAGAAACTAAAATACAACTTTTAAAAATAATATATTTATGTGTAGAAAAATCCAATGGCAGGACACATCTAGCAACAGTAAATCTGGAGGCTCTAAGATGTCTTCAGTAGCTTGTGTTTTTGTTGTTGTGTTATTTTGTGTTCTCAACTTCCTGCAGCAACTTTGTCCAATAAAAATATAATGTAACTCAACATTTAAAATAAAAAGTAAAAAGACAGGTGAACTTGTTCATTTAGCTCAGTATGTCTAAGGCATAGCCATTTTAACATTTAATTAGTATAAAAATTATACATATATTTGACATTCTTTTTTAGCTAAGTCTTCAAAATCATTATTTTATCCTTTCAGCACATTTCAGTTTGCACGAGGTACATTTCAAAGACACAGTAACCACTGTGTAATTGCGTAGGACAGCAGTATTGGTTTCTACCTCATCTTAAAGTTAGCTTTCTTTGTCAGTTTGCCCACATGTGTTCAGTAGACATACGGGTTTTCTTGTTCATGTTCTTAGGGGGAAAGAAAAGAATATTTTCACTTGCTCCTTTCTATGGGAAAAATTCTTATTCCTCAGTAGATATCACCAAGATCCATTCATGGGTGCTGTCATGTGGCAGAGATAAGATAAACCAAATGGTACATGTTAGTCAGGAAACATACCTGGGATAAAATCTTAAGACCACAAACATTTTCCTCCTATATTTTCTTCTAGATATTTTAGTTTTATTTTAGGTTTACCATTTAAGTCTGTGATCCATTTTGAGTTATTTTTTTAATAAAATATTGAGGTATATGTTGAAGTTAAATTGTTTGCATATGGGTTTCCATATTTTAAAGCTGCACTTATGGTAAAGATCATCTTTTGTCCATTGAATTGCCTTTGCAACTTTGTCAAAATTGTTTTAGCAGTTCACAATCTTTTATCTATTTGTACAGACTTCAGAAGTAGCTTTTCAATTACCAAAAGTTTTTTAGGGTTTTGATTAGGATTGTGTTGACAGTTTGCAGAAAAGTAACATTGTAACAGTGTTTAATCTTATTCATGAATGCTGTGTCTCTATTTATATGATCTTTGGCTTTCCCCCATTTATTGTTAGTATACAAATTCTACATCTATTGTGTTAGATTTATATCTGGGTATTTCAGAGTTTTGGTGCTATTATAAATGGTACTATTCACAAAAAAGAAAAAGAAAAAAATTAGATTTTAACTGCATGTGATGGGTATAATCCCAGCATTGTTGGCTCTACAGTATCACAAATTGATTTTTATGCACAGCCTCAGCAATTTAGTGACTTAGTGAGACCCTGTTTCAAGTTTTAAAAAAGAACTAAAAGGCCTAGAGATATAGCACAGGGCAAAGACCTTGGCTTCAGTCCCTGATAACACATACACGCATACATACAAATATATACACATACACACCCTCCACCACCACCAAAAGGAAAAAACACAAAATAAACAAAACCTCTTGAAATTCTAGTTTGTCATTAATATGTGAAAGTATAACTAATTTTTATATTGTTTTTGTATCTTCAAACGTTACTAAAATCATGTATTTGAAGAGAATATTTTGTGGAAGCCTTCAGATTTTCTATATGACAGCCATATCTGTGGATAGAAACCATTTTACTTTTCTCCTTTCAATGTTCATACTCTTTAATTTCTTTTTTCTTCTCTCTGAACTGTACTGACCGGAACTTCTGGTACGATGTTAATTAGTAATGGTTAAAGCAGACACCTTGATTTTAGTTTTAAGGTAAAACCATTCCATTTTTCATTATGATGCTAACAATAGAATCAAGTAAAAAATTTCCTTTTCAATTTATTTTTAATTGAGTTTATTGATACATTTTACATATACATAATGGTTATAAAATTCTTTTCTATTTATTTGATCCAAGTTTGATCATGAGTATGATGTCAACTTTTATCAAATCCTTTTTCTGCATCTATTAAGATGATCCTTGTCTGTTATTATGGTGACTTACACTGATTAACTTTTGAGTATTGAATAAAGCTTGCATGCTATGTTATCTTTAATATATTGCTGGATCCTATGGTTACTCTTTTATTGAGGATTTTTTTTTTTTTTTTTTTTTTTGGTTCCGGGGATTGAACTCAAGTCTGTACACTTGCCGAGGCAGGTGCTTATGCTGCTGAGCTGAATTCCCAGCCCTGAGGATTTTTTTTAATCTAAGGAATGTTAGTCTGTAGTTTTCTTGTCAGTAAATTTTTTGGCTTCATGTTAGGATAATTCTTACCTCAAAATGATTTGACACATTTTTCTTGTATATTTTTTCAAGAGATTGAATAGAATTGGCAGTATTTCTGCATTGAATGTATAGTCAAAATGGTCAGTGAAACCGTCCAGGCTTGGAGTTTTCTTAGGTGAGGTATATTATAACTATACACAGTTTCTTTAATAACTATAAAGACTATTTAGACTATTTCTCTTAGTCTGTGTTCAAGGGCTTGGTTCATTTTATTTAAGTTCTTAAATTTATATACAAAGACTTGCTTGTAGTATTGACTGATCCTTTTAGTCTCTAGCGATACCTCTTTCATTGTCAGAAAAAATGTAACTGTTGAATGATTTGTGCTTCATTTGAATATACAAATATCATTTTACTACCAGTACACCAAGTTTAAATGTTCCCAGCCTTTCATTTATCATAAGTGTCTAAAAATAGTAGAATCAGGCTCATTCAGAAGCAATCATTTTCTAAAACATGAATGAACACATTACAAAAAGTCTACTTCTGATGTTTAGGATATACTATCAAAGTCCTGTGTACCTGCATCTAGTGGGTATTCCAGACATGATAATGCAACTTAAACTTTAAGAACTTCTTCTAAAGACATTATTCACATATTGACCTTTAAGGCATATACTTATGCTATGAATGGTAAACGGAAAAATTAAACAATAAATGAGGTAATCATTTTTGGTCCAACTCCTAACAGAAAAGAAATTGTCAAGAGTGTAGGTTGCTTTTATTGTGTCATAAACAACTTAGTTTTCATGGTAAAGGATAAAAACTGGTAATAGTTACAGGCAGAAGATGTAAGATAGCCCGCAAGCTGAATAATGTGCTTGTAATTTGGATGTCAGAATTGTGCATAGACACATCCATTCATTTTTAAACTCCTTAAGGAAAACAAATGTTTTCTTGGGAATGTAGTATATAATCGAAAGTTTCAAGTAAAGTTTTATTGCTAAAAAAATATCCTATTTTAAGTCTTTTGCAAAATGAGCACTCAGATCAGTTTTATAAAAGTGTGAGTTTTGAAAAAAAAAGTGTGAGTTTTGTTTATCTTTTTAAAAATAGAATGGTAAATAACAGTTTTGTCAGCTAATTTTACCATAATTTTAAAAGGAAAACCTTAATCAGATCTTTCAAAAACTAAATATTATAAAGAACAAGCAAGTTATACTGCATATAGACTTGATATGTGAAGCAATAGCAATTATATTTATTGTGACAAATTCAGCATTTTTCTAAATTTCTTCCACAATTTAAGCAAATAAGCTTGACAATAGCTCCAGTTGCGCATTTATCTAATTAACCTTTTATTTATATTCTTTTTTTATTGACTCCAGATACCTTTTACAAACTATAGCTCTGCACTCATTCGTCAAATCTCTATTGAGTTGCTCTTGTGAAGCAAGACTGTGGACTGTGGCAGCACCTCAAAATACAATCTTAATAATACAGAAGCAGTCATGCCAAGTTAGTAAGTCCTTCATATTTACCTGTAAAATAAAACATTAGGCAATATTTCCTTAAAGTTTAAATATATTACTAGTTTTATTACTATGAAATTTTTTGTGTCAATATTTTCTGATGAGTGATATACACTATATAGTAATAATTTATATTCATTTCTTTGTACATAGAGTCCACCAAAAAATGTACATATCAGGAAAAGAAAAACTTGTATAAATATTTTAATACTAACTTTATTGAAATATCATAATGATTCATACAAGTTACCTTTGGCCTCTACAATTAGCAGAGGTGCTCAGACACCTCTTGTAATTGTAGAGCTTCCAGATATTTATTAGTAGGTAAACTGCTGAAGCATGTATGCAGTTTCTTAGTTATTGGTACATTTTAGATACACATAATGATCACTTTCATCATAGAAAATTTGTACCTATATATAATATATCTTGATTCTTTTTTCCCATTCCTCTCCCCTCAACCCTACTCCTCTTTATTTGCAAAAGATTTATTTTTATTTTTTTCTTTTCTCCTCTGTTATTCCTCTCTACCCTCTCCCTAGTTCCCCTTCCATTTGAACATTTTCTTCCTGTATCACAATATCTATTATACATTTTGGTCCTTATTTACACTTCCAGTTTCTTACACTGGAGAAATAAAGCAGTATTTACACACATGTGTCTGATTTTTTCCACTTAACAGAACAGTCTCAAGGTGTATGCATTTACCTAGAAATGTCTCAAACTTATCCTTGTTGACTTACTGGCATATTGGGAAGATTGTTGTTAGAATAGAGCAGTGGAGCAATAAAACAGTAACTTTGGAGTTAAGTTACTTAAGTTTCCACTCTGGTTCTACTGTATACTATATTTAGCTATACTATATTTATTTAGCAAGTTTATGCAGATCCTTGCATCATAAAGTTGCAGTTAAATGAATTACTTGATGTTAAATACAACTTAAAGATACTCTGTTATTGTTAGCAATTACTATGTTAGTGAATACATTGTCAGAAAATAAGTGATTTTTGGTTTTTAATTTTTAAAAAGAATAATTCTACAGAATGTGTTTTTACTGCAACTGAACTATTTTCTGTGTTACTATCTTAGTTGTATTTGGACTGTTTTTTTTTTTTCCCCTCTTTTTCTGACTTAACACACCGTACCTCCGTCTCATAAACCAGAATTTCAAGAGGCTAACAACTGCCACCATAAGCAAACTCAGAATTTTATTAGTAAAAATAAAGAAAAAAAGATATTCAATAAGCAATTAACAATGTCTGTCATAATTATTTTTCTTGTTATTTTTGTAGTATGTATCAGGAACTTTCTTCCTAAACAAAACAATAAAGAGTTGATACAAAGTTAGTATTTTTTACATATATGTCATGTCCCATCTTTATTTACCCTTTAAATGATAGTGATTTTACACAATAATTAGTTGCTATTTTTTTCTAGATAATTAGATGACTTTGACTCCAATGTTCCTTTTTTTTTTTTTTTTTTTTTGAGAGCAAAGATAATGGTCCTTTTTATTTGAAATATTGTAAGGAAATAAATTACTTTGGTACTTCTGAACATATATCCCATCACTGTGCTGCTTCAATGGAAAAGAAGTAATTGTTAAAATAAGTTACTATGACTAGATTAAGTTAGTAGCTTTTTCATTTTCTGGTTTTACTTTATTGGTATTAAAATAAATTACTTTATTGGTATTAAATAAAATTATTTTATTAGTATTTTATTTTATTGTGTAGCATATAACATTTAAATTCCTTGTGGGAAATTGGCACATGTTTTTTGTTGTTGTTGTTTTGTTTTGTTTTGGTACCGGGGATCGAACTCACAACCTCACGCTTGCCAGGCAGACACACTGCTGAGCTAAATCCCCAGCTGCAGAAGTTGGTACATGTACATAACATATCTTAATTCTTTTTTTAACCCTCTTCCCTCCCTCCCTTAATCCTCTTCCTTTTTAAAAAAAATCGGTATATATTTGTAGTACATAATGTTTACATTACTTGTATGAAGTTGGTACATCCTAATTTTTGCTTTTCATCTCCTCTCCTTCCCTCTCCTTTCCATCCCTTGATCCCCTTCCCCTTTGAAAAGATCTGTCTCCCTACTTAGTATTACTTATCTTTTATTTTAATGAACTAACTAACTTTCTTTTTTTCTGAAACAGAGTTTAGCTAAGCAGTTCAGGCTGGCCTTGAACTCACTTTCTAGTCCAGGCTGGCCTGGAACTCACAGCAATCCTCCTGCCCCAGCATTCCGAGAGCTAGGATTTACAGGGGTGCACCACCACACCTGGCATTGATGAGCTTTATTTTAATGATTCTATATAGGTATATTTATTCATCAGTGTTTACATAAAGATGCTAAGGAATGAATATTTATTGAACTACTATTCTAGACACAGTGTTTAGGTTTCAGGAAAAAATGATATGTGTGAAACACAATTCTACAATCTTCTAAAAGGTTTACTGTCTGATGAAAGAGATAGGAATATAAATGAACCAAAGCACTATGATTTTTACTGTAATAGATATATTCTTTTTTTTGGTCTTTTTCGTTTTTATTGGTACCAGGGATCCAACTCATGACCTCACACTTGCAAGGCAGTTGCTTATGCCACTGAGCTAAATCCCCAGCCCCAAAAGATATATTCTTAAGGTGATAAAAAAGGATGAAAATGGTTAATCTGCTGTGATTTTTGAAAGGAATATCAAGAAAAGGTATCATCCATCTTTTGAGAGGCCAGGCATTTCTATAAAGTAATGAGCAGATGAAATAATAGTAGAGAATCTTGGGTAAGTGATATTGCTATCTGAAGTAGAGATTTATTTTCTGTCTCCAATTAAAGAATAATTTAGTTTTAGATAAACTAGACTAAAAATAGACAAAAACTATGGATTGTAATATGATTTGTGTAAGTGGCTGTGGAGAAATTATAATGTGATGCAAAGAAACTATTCATAATCATTTAATTTTTTAAATTATATTGTCATGAATTTTGTCATCATTTGATGGATTATGACTTTTTAATCTAAATAAAACATGATTGTAATTTTTTTTCCTTTTTTTTTTTTTTTTTTTTGGTACTAGGGATCGAACTCATGATCTCACACTTGCTAGGCAGGCCCTTGTGCTGCTGAGATAAATCCCCTGCCCTATGATTATAATTTCTAAAAGACACGTGAAATGTATGAATTATGTGTTGTCTTCTATATGCTAGGGCTACTAAATAAATAAGAATAAATCTGTCCTTACCAGGAATCAAACTTGGGACCTTGCACTTGCCAGAGAGGTACTTATGCTGCTTAGCTATATCCCTGGCCCCGCATCAGTGATTAAGAATTCAGCCCCTGAGTAAAAATACTTTAAAGATAGAAGAAGCCAAAGTAGACTTTTTTTTTTTCCCTTCAGGATATTCTTCTTATTCTTTGTTCATTCTTTCAAAAATAGAATAACATACTGTTTTAATTCTTTCTTTGGTTTGTTGCCAAACAGTACGTTTATTATTGGTTGCTCTCAGTTATGTGCTCATGATAGGGAAAATATTTTGAAAGTACACAGAATTCTATAGGTGAAAATGAAATTCGTTGTTTATTAGTGAAGTGCTGCAGATAAAACAATTTCACCCTGTCAGAAAATATTGACTAGCCTTGATGGTTTGACCCTAACAATGAAAACCTCATTATTTTATAGGTATCGATGTATTTTATTTCTCTCTCATAATGCTACTGCTAGATTTTTTAATGGGAGCCATTTTTTTTATGTCAAAGAACTTTTTACTTAGCCCTTATAAAGTCAATAATTTTGTATATTTACAATAATTTTTGTAGCTAGTGGCTTTTCTCTCAGATGTTAAGTTTGGGTGACCTTGAATCTCCTACTTTCAGATTCTTAGAAATGGAAGGTTGAGGTAGTTAAAGCCTCATATTTGGATGATAAAATGTAATTTATTTACTCAGATGAAACACAAACAATTCATCCACCTTAGTTCTTTGATAAAGAATTACAGTAACATGAAGCTAAATATGTCGCTTGCCTTCTAAAGTTTGTTAAAATACTTAGCTAATTTAAATTTAAGTATGAAAGAATTATATGACCTTATTGGGGTTTAGTACATATTTATACATAGGATTTATAGATACCCATACATTGTGTGTATAGTAGGTATATATAAAAGATATACATACATATTCATTTAGAGGGTCAGTGAACTAATTATTTTAAATATCTTTGTAATTTTTAGATTTTACCTTTCAGATGATGAGAAAAATAAGTGCTTCTAGCAACCTTGTGACTTGTTCAGATCTAGCTTAAGAAAAAGAGTTAAATTTGTAATTTACTGGGATAGACTTTGTAAAATAAAATTTTGCTACTATAAGTACAACAATATTAAATTTTTTGTGACTACTTTTTTATAAGGCAGATTGGAACAATTGTTATAAAGAACTAAAGAAAAGTTGGTAATGCTATATGCATGCCACCTTGACCTAATCTAGGAAGTCAGTGAAGAGTAACAGAGAAAGTAGCCCTTGATCTGGGATCTGAAAGTTAACCCCTCTGAGAGAAAAGAAAACTACTAAACAGAAGCCACTTAGTAAGTTGAAGTCTGACAAGTATAAAGATCAGAGGATATTATTACTGTCAATAAATCTGATGCGTATGTTGGTTACAATTCTTATAGAGAATAATATGCAAGTTGCTCAGTGAATTAAAAGTAGAACTATCACATGATCCAGCATTCCTTCTTCTGGGGACATATTTAATGGACATCATTATCCCAAAGAGATATCTGCACTTTCATGTTCACTTTAGTACTATCCATAGCAGTCAAGATGGAAATAACCTAAGTGTCCTTCAACAGATGAATGGATAAAGAAAATGTGGATATATACGATGAATACCATTTGGCCTTAGAAAAGGATTTCTTGCTGTTTGTGACAACATAAACACCCTGAAGGACATGGGTGAAGTAAACTAGGAATAGAAAGACAGA